TATCACGATTATCATAAAGAAATTCATCAAGGCACAAGCATATAGAGGGTGCCAAAGAAGGAGAATATAGCAAGGAAAATAGGTTTTGTTGAGACATGGGTTACCTCTTAGCCTTAATTAAATTCCTTGGCTATGAAGGGTCTTTCTTTAAGATCTCTTCTTTCTTGATTTCTCCTATGGGAATTCTTGGGAATTCTTGTGTGGTGAAAGTTATTGTGGTGTGAGTTCTAGGTGCCTCCCATGTCCCTATTTATATATCTAAGAGTCCCAATTAGGGTCTAAATGGTATGGGCTTGCTAATTCTATTCCTTATAGGACTAAGGGGTTGGTTTTAGGGATAAGGGTCCATGGACTATGGTGGACTCTTCTTAGTTAATTAATGGATTTTAATTCCCTTTTTAGGGTGAGTAATTAATTAATTAATTTGGTTTTAGGGGTTGTAACACGGGGTGTTACACGGGCTTTTTCCGGGACACCATGTCCACCAACTCACAAACTGTGCGTGGGTTGCCCAAACCACGACAGTTCCAGCTAAGGGTACTCATTGGGACGGGCGGGTCTGGGAACCAAGACCCGCCATGTACAAGTTTTTTGAACTGTTGTTGCCCTCCACTCCACCATCCATCGTCGGGGCCGACTCACTCATCCCCCCAACTACCGCCCTTCGTCTCTTAGATGAGGCCGTGATACCTATCTCCGCCCCCTCCCTTATAGATGCCATAACTAGGTCTGCGCCATCGTCATTATCTGGTGCCGGACCCGGGGTCCTATTCTGCCGTAAGGCTTCATTAGCGGCCCCCAACGATGGAAGCAACCAAGACTCCCCCACCGATCTCGGACCCCTAGTCTGTCCCGCTCTCATCCATGCCCCGTACGGGTATGACTCCGGTTTGATATTAGAAACCCGTACCTTTGCACAGAAACTGTCAAGATGTCCTAGCAAGCCACAACAAAAACAGAAGTTATGTAACCGTTCATACTTCAGATTCACCGAACCCCAAGACTTATCCCGACGTATTAGTTTCATTCGGCGTTTTAGCGGTTTGTCCACCGGTACCAAAACACGCACTATGTAGAACGTCTTCCATGGGCCACCCACATGTCGATCATCACACCAGATAAACAACCCTACAAAATTCCCAACCTGCTCAAGAACCGCATTAGAAGTATAACCCATAGGTAGGTCATAGACTTGTATCTACATATCAACAGTATCAAGTTTGACCTCCCCCGGCAGGTATCCATCACATACTCGCCTACATACCAGTGTATGGTTCTCAAAGGACCACGGACCCTCCTCCAACACTCGCACCATATCTGTTTCATGATAGAAAGCAAAAAGAAACAATCTATTATGCAACTCCGTCACACGCATCCCGAATACAGGCTGCCATGCAGAAGCCATTACCTGACGCATATATTCAACCTTGATTAGCTTCTGCGTCAAGAAACGCCCAACAACACAATACATAGGCGCCTCCATATCGTCCGGAGCATGCTCTGGTACGTCGGCCTCCACGCCACCTTCTTCATCCTCCAACACCATATCTCCCCATCGTTCGGTCAGGTCATCCATCCTTCCTTCGCCGTGCTGCTGTGCTTCCATCGCCATATTCGTAGCCGGTGAAAAAGTGCACCGTCCGTCGTCCGTAACAAAGTAAACCCTAGCGGGAGGAAGAAAAGAAAAACCCTAGAGAGGGAGAGAAAAGTTATGATAGGGTTCTAAAGATGGTTGATTTTGGTCCTACAGTGCCGTTTTCCCTTAAATATACTAAAATGTAAACAAAGGTAGATTTGGCTTAATGGTAAGTGCATTATTATCATATTGAAATGGCTTGTTTTTCAAACCCTACAACTTTAATTTTGTTGGTTTTTTTTTTTTTTTTTTTTTTTTTTTTTTTGCCATTTCTTAGTATTAATTGTTAGATTAGTGAAATTTTGTTTTTGGCATTTTTTATTTAATATTAATAGTAAGAAATCTAATTAGATTATTTATTTGTAACATTATTTTACTTCTTTCTCTTTTTTATTTTTTTTTCTTTTTAATATTAATAGTGAGATGAGTGATTTATAATGTGTTTTCATTCAAACTATTTTATATAATTAATTATGTTTTATATTATGTTTTAAATATTTTTTATTTTGGTATATTTTGATTATAAGTGTTTTTTTTTTCAAAATATCTTTGTTAGTTCTTTCGCCCCCACTGAGAAAAATTTCTAGATCCGTCACTACGTGTCCAGATCTAAGGGATGAGAAGCACTGATTTTTAAAAAAAAAATACGGTGACATTTTCGTAAATAATTGAACATCGAAGTGCAAGTAAAATATATTACAAGTGCATGTAAAATTTATTATAGGTGCAAATAAAATTTATACTGAGCATCAAAACTAAGTGCACCTGACGTTATAACTAGGTGCACCTATAGTTATAAGTAGTTGCACCTAGGTGCATGAATGTTTGCGGGTGGTTTTCACGGGTACTAACTACCCGTTGAACTCCCCCGCAAGAACAAAAGCGATGCCAAATAGAACAAACTCAGATCAATGAATGTTAACAAGACAAAATTACATGTACTTGTAGGTTAAAAGGTGCACCAACTACTTGCACATATAACACATTTACATGTACTAAAGTTTGAGTTATTTACAAAAATACCATCGCGTCGTTTTTTTAAAATTACATCTTATGCGTTGATCTGGACACGTGGCGCGCGCTGAATGGTTCTCAGTTCTCTCATTGACGACCGTTCGCATGAGAGTGAGCCCCCCCCCCCCCCCCGCCCCCCCCACACACACACACACACACACACACACACACACATATATATATATATATATATATATATATATATATATATATATATATATATATATATTACATCCTGAGAAAGTCAATAGCAAAGCTTGCAAATCCTTTCTCTACAGACTGCATGAGCCTGCATTATATAAATTCTGGTGAAGCATTTGCAGTTATCAATGACAAATCCTGGGAGGCTTGGCAAGACTGCTATCCTGCATTGTACTAGTTTCCATAAAAAAGAAGAGTTGTAATATATGGCATGTCAATGAGATTTTCATTCGTTGATGAAAGACCATTAATCTTTAATTTGGTGGATTTTTTACCTTCAATCATAGTAGATATTGGCGGATGAGAATCCCACAGTCGTGTCATCCCATATTTTTCAAAAAGAGTCATGTAATAAGCGCAAAGTAATCTAGTAAAATTAGTAATCAGTGACAAGAGTATGTTGTATTGTACATAAAACATTACAATTAAGGGGAAGAAAACACATGAAACCAGTTACTAAACAAACCTAGAATGGTTCCAACACCATAAGGAAGAAATACAAGTATGTAGTGTAAGATTTTCCCTAATAATATATATTATATATTATATATTAGGGCCTTAATTAAGTGGTGCAAGTTGACTAGGCTTATTAAGTGGTCTGGTTGGACTTAATAACTAGTAGTTGTTAGTCAACAAAACTCTGTGCCTAATATAATCTTGGATTGATGGGATACAGGATGATTGATGTTAGCACATTCAGTTACGGTACTTAGACTGCTCAGTAGATACCAATACACCATCTAGGGTTCTGAGTCAGGTCTGAGGCAAAACATGGCTAACGGTTTACCGTTAAGAGGCAACACAACAGGAACATCAACTATGGCTGGAGATCAACACGGCTACGCTTCCGCTATCATACGAGGTCAGGTTTCTCGTATACTATGTTTTATTATAGTTAGACTATTGTATATCTAACATTTGGTATCAGAGCCAGGTTACGATTATGTATCGGAATGTAGTTTAGTAGTTTTATCAGTGACGATAGAAATAAATAATTTTCAATTCTATCATAAAGTTTAATTTTATGATGTAAACTTTAGATCATATTTCTTAATTTGCCCACAGGGATTAAGAAATGGAACATGATTTCTTAAGTTTTATGATAATGGTTGTAATGAATCTTATTGAATAAAGCTTTAGCCTACAGGCAAGTTTTATGTCGCTTGATTATTCAACTCATTTGATAATTGTTTCATCATAAATACAATTTCAGTTGGGTCTAATTGAGTAAAACTTTAGCCTACAGGCAAGTTTTATGTCACTAGATTCTTCTGGCTCTTTAGCAATTGTGAAAAATTTTGTCATAAGGGTTTCTTAATTGGATTTAATAGAATTAAAACTTTAGCCCATAGGCAAGTTTTATGTCAATAAATCCCTTAACCCATTAGTTAATAATTTTATCACAATTTCTTAGAATTTATAAATTTAGTTCAATTATAATTCTAAGGTTCATGGTTTGCATTGGCAAAACATTTTTTTTTCAGTCACTTTCCAAAATTTAGCCACTTTTATTAATTAATTAATCCACGAATCTTGCTCGGTTCTTCGGACTAACTGTAGTAAGTTACGTGCTTTGACATACATCTTTTGGATTCCATTAATAATAAAATGTATCTTTTGAGCCAAATTTTAACTTGGTTTTGAAAGATGTATTTTGTTTCTTTTAGTATGTCCAACTATGGTGGGGAAATATATCTTCATTATTTAGTTGGACTTTAATTGGAACCAAAAATTGATTATTTAGTATGTCCAACTAATGGTGGGGAATTATGTCTTCATTTGTTAGTTGGTCAATAAATCAATTACGAGTATGTATATTATTAAGTTCATTTTATTAATTTCGCTGAAGAATGTTTTAATCAGTGGGAGTGATCATTTAGAAAAAGATCATTACGATACTTCACTAAAGTTTTTGGATTTAATTATTGTATTCATACATTCCAAATTGGGTTGTATGTTACACAATAAGTCCAAAATATTCCACAAGTATTAATCTTGTATTTGTTCATATAAATTCATAAGTTCAAATTATTGAACATTTGGTTGTGCAACATATTTATGAAAATGTTGTAACAATATTAAGGAATTTATTAGAACAAAAGCATTTAACTTGTGGTGCATTGTAATTTAATAAATTCTTCTGGTAGGGGAGAAGGAAAGGAGCAAAATGAAGTCCTACATCCACAGATCAATTAAATTTGGGAGTGACCATCATTCTGATTACAGTCTTGCCACATGATCTCAACACTTCCATACCGTGCATCAATTCCGAATCACAGGTCAAGGTAATCCACTCATCTTCCTCATCTTGATACTTGATAGACATATTTTCTAGTGATATTTTCAACTTTGTTTCCAATTGCTCCTCCAAATATATGATAGTTGAGGAGGATGAGAGTGGAAACCTTATGGTATCATTTTGATAGGTTACCTTGACAGACATTGAGCTGTTACATTGGCTTGTATTTGTGGCTTGTAGAGGAGGGGGAGATGATTGAATTCCTTTATGTTTCTTAAGAGCTTGTACATGTTGTTTTTGGTTGAGAGAGCAATTGGGCATTTTTCCCCTGTGATTTGGCCATCTATTGATGCCAAAGTCCCGACATGCTCGCTTCAATGTAGATGTGCTAACTGCATAATATAATACAGTGGGAGATTAAAGAAAAGCAAATGTGTCAATGAGAAAGTATATATTGAAGCAATAACCACATATCTATCTATACAGTAAGGAAATATTGAATACTACCACATCAAATATATGATAGAAGTGACGAAATGTAGTGTTAGCCCACCTTTAAGAGTTTTAGCTGCATCATCGCGACTCATACCAAACCGTTGTTGAAGAAGCTGGCGGGTAATTCCATAATCTTTCTCCCACCTGCTGATAGTGTGGGTTTTGGGAATATGGGGTTCACATGGTGAGTCCAGTTGCATCACCCCGCATTCTGCTTCTTCAAGTAGTGGTGGCAAAATGCGAACCTTTTTTGAGTCTGCAGCAAGCCTCTGAAGCTTGACAATCTTTTTTAACTCTGCACCAAGCCACTCAATGTTGTCTAGCAACTGCCTTTCCAAATTATTCCCATGCTGTTGTAGGGACACCATTTCCAAGCATTTTATGATTGGTTGCAAACTGTTGGAAGTATCCCCAAACTCCTTTTCCAGAAATTCAACCACGGCGCCACCCTGAAAACCACATTGACCATTTCTTGGTGGATGAGTAACTGATTTTTCTTCAATCCAAGCTCGCTTGATCCCAACTTCAACTTCTATTAAACTCAAGGTACTATGCTTACATTTCCAGAAAAGATTAACATCTGAATGCGGCAATCTATTTTCCATTAGCTGTGCATCAATACTGAACCAAAGCTCCTTGTAGCGGAAAAGTTTAGAATCCACAGCATTCCATGAAGCCTTCATCTTCATTATTAATTTCCTTTTAAGAAACACAGGAGCCACACTATTACAGGCTCCATCATCCAAAAATCTATATGGGTCATCAACTTCTTCAACCTTACTATGATCTGCAAAATTGCACAATGTAAATGGATGGGAATTTCCGATGGAATCATCGGACGGCGGGGAAAAGTAGTTCATCCTTGAGGGACTCGTGCTCATCATCCTTCCACCCACCATGTCGGGCGTAAGGTACACCGGTTCTTCACCAGAAAAGCCCATCCATTGGGGGCTGCTCACCATTCCTCCGGTCATATCGAACAGCAAATCGCAGTCTGTATTAACAGAATCTGTTTGTAGATGATGGACAACAATAGTGGTCTCAGCTTCTTCACTCATCTCCGACTCCGTAACAGGGTGGCAGGTGAGAGCGCCATGGTTGAACAACGACCTCACGGGAGAGGGAGAGGCAGCATATGGTGGCGGTTGAGCTTGTTCTGGAGTAGGTGTCATTGCTGAATTTGATGCATCAACAAGTCTCATTGCTGAATTTGAGTAGGTGTCGGTGGAAAATGTAACCATGTTTAATTTCGGCTTTGATGGGGGAGGGGGGGTGATCTTTGTTGAATTGTGGATAGATTAGCGTCGGGTCAGCCATCCATATATAAGTCAATAAATTTTTATTTTTATTTTGACAAACCCCTTTGAACCTTTTGAAACTTAAACCTTTTGGAAAGTATTTTCCCCTTTTTGAACTTAATAGCCTTCATAATATTTTTTGAAAAAAGACAAAAAAAAAAAGTTAAATAAGTCAAAAATCGAGAGCTACGATGCTCGGTGGAAACGTGAAGGGAGGAAAAAGCGCAATAAGACCGAGAGCACAGATTACACGGCAATTTATATACTACACCACGGCGCGCGTTACCAATTTATATCATACAATTGGTAAATATGATATAACTCAAAGATCAAAATGCTAAAGAAAGTGTTTCGTTATTCAACAGTTTGAAATAATAATTTGTTCCAAACCACTGAAAATACAAACATTGCAATTTATAATATTAATTGTTCCAAACCACTGAAAATACAAACATTGTAATTTACAATATTTTTACTTAACGTTTTTGAGAATGATTTTCCCAAAACACCTCTATATTTTTAAAAAAAAAAAAAAATTAAATTAACTGTACAACCATTTCGACTCCTTGAATAACAATAGCCAGTTTCACTGGGTCACTGCTTGCCCATCAACGGATGGACAAGCTTAATTTTTAAATTGGAGCCTTAAACTCCTTTTATAGGAGTCTCAAGACTCCCATGCCGTACTTTTTCCGCATCCAAAACTAAAAAGAGCCGAACGTTCGGCTGCCCATATGTTTTATTTTTTTATTTTATTTCTTTTATTAAATTATTTTTATTTTTATTTTTTAAAACAATTATTATTATTATTATTATTATTATTATTATTATTATTATTATTATTATTATTATTATTATTATTATTATTATACCCTTAGGTAATTTTACATGTTAATCTAAACAGTTAATTGTTTCAAATATCTTTTTACCAACCGTTGATATAATTCGTTGGTCAAATCTACTAACGCTAATCGATGCTGATTGTCAAATAAGGACATTGCGAGATAGTTTCCAATTTCAATTTGTTGTGTGTTTTGAATACTCTCTTTGTCAACAAATTATTCAAGTAGTTAATATGATTGGCTTTATTAATTATATTTTTTTAAATTTTTTCATGCTATCAATAAAATACTTGGTAATAAATATATAACATTATTTTGTATTATAACTTTGATATTTAATTAAAAAATAGTGCACAAAAAAGATAATAGACGTAGTGAATATAATCAATTGATGAATTTGAATGTAAAGAATTTTTACATTAGAGAAAAATAAAGACAATATAACTAATGAAATTATTTCTCTTAATTAATTTATTGATAATCATATAATTAAGGATAAATTAGAAAATCTCAAGGAAAAATTAATTGACCGTTTACTAACTGAAAATTTTCAGAAACTGAAAAATATAAAACAGAGCTGAAAATAATTTCTGGAAAACTGGAACACACTTAAAAACTGTTTTCAAAATGGAAAACAGAATTATCTATCATCTATTTAGTTATATGTCATTATAACCACATTACTATGATTACATTCATTATCATATTATTTTACTTATCATTATCTTCTATCTTTTCTACTTACTTTATTTATTTAAACATAATTTATTTGCTTACACTTTAAAGTTAGACATTATTTACATTATTAAAATTAATTAAACTCTATATAATGTTTTAGATTTTGATTGAACTCAATAGATTATTAGTTTGAATATTTTTAATTATGTTATATCATAATACAAGTTCGGTCCAGATATCGAATATTGAAATCTCACATATATTAGAATTCAAAGTAAAAGTTATATATTCATATACATATCATTCAAATGAATATATCAAAAAAAAATTAAATATTAGCTCAAAAAATATTAATATTATCTAAACTAAATTTTAGGTGAAAACTAAAAAATTAGAAAACAAGAAATCAGTTTTCAGTTAGTAAACAAGTTTTCTAAACAGAAAACAGAGAATGAAAAGTGAAAAATTAGAAAATAGAAAACAGAGAACAGTTTTCTGTTGGTAAACGGACCCTAAATTTGATCAATCTGAGCCATTCATTTTATTAAAAAATTTGACCGTCATTTTTTCTACCAAATATATGCCTAACTCTCTTTGGCTGTTATTAGTATTTATATATATATAGTAGATATATATATATATATATATAGATATATATATATATATATATATATATATATATATATATATATATATATATATATATATATATATATATATATATATACACACACACACAACTTTTAACAATTTCAATATCCATGTCAAACCTTATTTCTTCCATGTAAACAAGATTGATCTCTAGTTCAACAATTTTCTTGCTTCTTTCACAAATTACTAAAAAAATCAAATTAAAATTTAATGAAAAAAATGTTATCATTTCATAGCTTATTCGTCTTCTTTTATCTTTGTTTCGAATTTGGGATTGGTTGATGGCAATAAGAAGCAATTTTTTTAACTAATGACAATGGTAGCAAGGGTTGTCAACGATGACAAGGACTATTGGTTAATCACAGTACTAAATTAGAAAAATACTACATCAACTTCAAAAACATATTCCTAACTTTTACTCCCACTTGTATTCAAATTTTATTAAAAGAAGAAAAAAATAAATAAAAATTATGACCTCTTTTAAATTAAGCAATCAAAGCGTATTATTATATCGTATATAGTAGAAAATGAAAATATGAATTGAGAATACATATAAAATTACTCATTAAATTATTATGAAGAGTACGTTGATCAGTTGATGTAGCTAGCTAGCATTTTTCGTTTTCAGAAACAAATTAAAGTTATGAGTGCAAGGTAGTCTAGGTAAAATAAGTAATTAGTGCCAAAAATAATATATAAAAAGAACAAGGTGTAACACTAGCTGCTAAACAAACCTACAATAATTTCAACACCAGATCAGAAGAAATGCAAGTAGCTTTGGTAGGAGAGAATGAAAGGAGCAAATTATAGCTAGCTAGTGTTTTATTTTCATCTTCAGCTTCGGCTTTGCTAGAAATAGTTAGGATCTCAGTATAATCTTGTTGATAACACCTTAGTGGATGCTAAACCGTTTCAATAGGCAAATTTTCATGTGGACCATAGCTCACAAAGCGCTGCATAAACCATAAAAAATGTATTTTGTATTCAGAGAAAATCCATTATTTGTGTGTTGAATGTACATTATTTAAAATAATATAAATTCAGTACTCAAATAATATATTTTCAATACTCAAATAATGTATTTTCAAATTATGTACTTTATATACACAAAATAATGTACTTTTTATTTGTAGTCTAGACAATTGTGTGCATCATGGTTGTTAGGAATAAATTGTAATAGATTTTGATATGCCATATTGTAATTCGTAGATCCCCAATTTTATTTTATTAGACTAGTCGAGTCATAGACCAAGAAAGGGAAAAATAAATTCATTAGTTGAGGAAATGGATGAAGAAGATATAAAGCCTAAAATCAAGAATTTGCCTAGAGAAAATGGCAAAGGAAGATGTATGCGTATGATATTCAAGAAGAAATCCCTCAAGAAATCCCGAAGAAGAAAGAACGTGACTTGGAGTTTGCATGAAGCTATCTTGAAGATCAAGCATCTATGGAAAGAAAGGAGTACACCAAGTGAAACAAGAAAATAACCAAAAGGTTGTATAGATGAGATGGTAGAAGCTTGAAATATTATGTGCAAGTTCACAGGTTCAAATCTCACATCTCACATATTTTAAAGAAGCCAAGTTTAATTCCATCAGTTAAAGTATGAGGCAATGGTTTGGCCGAAGGGAAGCAATTTGCAAAGTCAAAGAGGTGTTTAAGGGATGAGATTTGACAAATCTAGCAAAGGATAGAGATTTCATTTCTAGCAGTCAAAGAGGTGTTTAAGGGATGAGATTTGACAAATCTAGCAAGGATAGAGATTTCACTTCTAGCAAGGGATAGATGAAGTCTGGAAGATGAGATTTGACAAATCTAGCAAGGATAGAGATTTCATTGGGATAGATGAAGTCTGGAAGCAGTATACAGACCCACGTGAAGTTTCAATTGACAAATCTAGCAAGGGATAGAGATTTCATTTCCCAATCTAGCAAGGGATAGAGATTTCATTTCCCAAAATAGCAAGGGATGAAGTTTCACAAGGGAAGAGATTTCCCAAGTCAATTGAAGAGATGGGGATAGAGATATCTAGCAAGGGATAGAGATTTCATTTCCCAAAATAGCAAGGGATGAAGTTTCACAAGGGAAGAGATTTCCCAAGTCAATTGAAGAGATGGGGATAGAGATTTCATTTCCCAAAATAGCAAGGGATGAAGTTTCACAACGGAAGAGA